TTTCTGGTGCTTTCACTTCCAGAGACAGTTGTAAGCACTGTGTAACTGCCTCGAGGGTGCTTGACCATTTTAACACAACGTGGTGCGATCATCCCCCTTGCGCGGAGTGAGGGTTCTCGACCCCGCACAACATGATCTACTCGACCATCATTATGGTTACCGCCAAAAACAAAAAACGGAGGTAAAAAAAAAAAAACGGTAACCTGGTTGCCGAGTTCACGAAGTGAAGTGGCTTGTTTTACAACGTCGTTGCCAAGCGAAGAAACCCAATCCCGGTCTAGGGGGGGGTGTTATATTCGCAACCTACGGTAGGCCACGGAACGTTCCGCGAACGACCACTGGTACCGGGACGTGTCTTCCGTGAGTTAAAACATAGCGCTGCCCAGGCCACTCACGCCTGACGCAAAACCAACATTTCGCTTTCCATATCACGCCTGACGCAAATCAACACTCACTTTCAATCTCACGCATGACGCATACCAACACTCACTGACGCAAAACCACAACTCACTTTCCATCTCGCGAATGCCTTCTCGGCATTCCCACACTCGGCAAGCAGGAAGCTGTGCGGGACGGGGGGGATGTCGTTTGCACCGCCTGCCCCCCCGGCCCCGGGCGCAGGGGGCTCCGTGGATGCAACGGGTTCCGCGGGTGAAGGGGGCTCCGCGCATGAGAACGCCGCCGCTTCCAGCTCGCCGTTCACCACCTGAGTACGGGAGTTGAACACATATGCGGTAACCGCTGAAAAAAGATATATGACGATTGCAATTTTTCTCTCAAGAGAGGACACGGTAAACGTGTCTTTTTCTTACTAGCATTGACCGCCCTAACCGGCTGATCGATGAAAAGACGTCAGGCTCACGGTGGGATTCAACAGGCACGAACACGCCTGCTAGCCATCGAGCATTGTGTGCGTACATGTATATAGTTATTCAAATAGCATCAAGCGTGCTCTCTCACCCAGTTGTGATCACCCTTACCATACATAGGAACCGGAAGGATGTCAATGGGGGGAAAGGAAGTCTGCCGAGCGCTACGATTTTTCTCGACCAACGCACAACAGCCATCTTTCAACGGAACAAGCAGCACTGCCCATCTACTGACGACATCGTTTTTGCGGGTTAAGAAATCATACTCTTCACAACACAAATTATGGGAACCAACCCTTAAAAAAAAGCCATGACGCGGTTTGGTGTGTTGTTGGTGTAATAGGTTTGGAGAAAATGCGAGTCGTGACTCGCGTCACGTTCACGTCATGAGTACCGTATATGACACAAGATAACACACCCCCTGGACCAATTTTCAAGGCTCGATTACTCCACGACCAAGAGAATGCATAAACAAAACGATACATTTTTGGAAAGCTCTCGACGACGCGGTTCCAACGCCGCCGTTTTCGGCGCCGTGACTCTTTCCGTTGTTGAGAAATCGATATTTGAAAATCGGTCCAAGGGGTGTGTTATCTTGTGTCATACCAAGCATCCCGATACGTGGAGCAGACCCAATCAGCATCAGACAACAAACGCAACAAATGGATTGAGTGAGACGGCTCCTTTGTGTGCAAACCAAGACAGTGGGTGGCCCGACATAGTGCTGGTTGAATAGTGCCGGTTGCTGGTATAGTGCCGGTGTCCGGTTTAGTGCCGGTGAAATTTCGGCGCACATACCGGCACTATAGCGGGCCACCCACCGCACAAACGAACAGCAACTAGCACGACGTCTGGCACACGCCACATCATTACAAACCAGGCTGGTTGCTCTCTCACATCATCCTCCCGCTGCTCCGAGCCTGAGGGACAGCCATGCCGCACAGTTGGCACGCCAACGGCGGCGTCCGGCGACTCCAAGGAGCAGCAGTGCTCCACGATCGACCAAGCGTTCGGCCTGCCGCAATCGCCGTCGTCTCTTCTCCGGAAGGTGAAGCTGAAGCGGGCCCGCACCTCCACCTCCCCGCTCTCCCCCCCGTCTCCCCGCCGCCACGCGAAGGTGTGGATTCCGGTCTGCGCCGCGAAGTCGCCGTACACGCGCACCCGCTGCGGGAGGAACTCCACCAGCCTCAAGCCCGGCAGCCGAGCGAAGCAGTCCTACAGCAGATTCCACGCGCGCGCGAGGGGACGGGGGACGGGGGCGGGGCGTACTCAAATGTTTTTCTGCCTTTGCTGCGACACTATCGGCCAGTGGGGGGGGGGGGGGGTACTC